AGGGGGATCTCAGGGTCTGACCCGACTGTGATCTGACTTGGGATTAAAGCTTTGGAACTTCAACACCTTTGGTTTGGTGTCTGTTTGTGACATGGTCATGCACTCTGGAGTAGAGAAAAGTGACTCTGTGTTGTGCCACTTACTAGCCCAGAAGTCAAATGTAAGTGAACAAAACAACTTATTATTCATTTTTTTTTGAGTTGAGGGTCTTACTCTGCCCAAGCTGGAGTGCAGTGTCATGATCACAGCTCATCAACCTTGAGATCTCCTAGGCTCAAGCAACTCTCTCTCCTCAGCCTCCTGAGTAGCTGGGATCACAGGTATGCACCACCACACCAAGCTTATTTTTTTCCTGTTTTTTTTTTTTTGTTGTTGTTGTTGTTACAGATGAAGTCTTGTTATGTTGCCCAGGCTGGTCTCAAACCCCTAGGCTCAAGTAGCCTCTTGCCTCAGTCACCCAAGGCATGAGGATAGGTGTGAGCCACTGTGCCCAGCCCAATACATGGTTAACTAGAGTCATCATGTTGTACAACAGTTCTCCTGAACTTATTTCTCCTCGCTGAAATTTTGACTAAAAGCATTTCTATATTCAGATACTTGGTGTGAGAGTACTTTTCCTGGGAGGGGGTTTCCAGCATGTGGGCAAAGCTTTCAATCAGGGCAAGACCTTCAAGTGAACTTCTATTGCCATTGCCTAGCTGCCTGCACCTGCCCTTCAGGAAGAAAGGGGTCATTAAAGGAAACTGAACATTGAAAAAAAAGACACATATATTACTATATATTATGTTAATCATATATATAATTACATATATAGATAAGCATCATATTTATACTGCATGATATAAATATTATAGCATTTATAACACACAGTTGGTTTTTGAATAGCACAGGTTTGAACTGTGTGGATCCACGAATAAGTGGATTTTTTTCAACAAAAGGAGGATCCAAGACACGGTATTGGCGGTAATAGGAATCCCATGAATATGGAGGGCGATGTTTCTCTATTTGTGGGTATCCCAGGGTGAATGCTGGACTTCCATATGTGTGGATTTTGATAAATGGGAGGGCCCAGGAACAAGTCTTCTGTGTGTACTGAGGGACAGCTGTCATTATAAGTTGTCCCAGGGTTAAAAGCAACTTCCTTGCCAAGGAGATAACTTTGTCACCTAGGAAAGGTGGAGTACCCTTTGCTATTAGCTAAGGCTTCACTCAGAGTCTCAGACTCAGATACACTCTTAGCGGGACGCATTCTCTTCATTCCTTTGTGTGCTGAGCTCGTGGGGGGAGAGAAGTGGAGATACCCATCACGCCATCATCCAACAAGTACAGGCAGCCTCCACAGGCTGATTTGGAACTCTGGTTCTACCACGTGTAGCCAGAGCAACCAACAGCTCTGTTGCCTAGGCTGGAGTGCAGTGGCACCATCACGGTTCATCGTTGCAGCCTCGACCTCCTGGGCTCAAGCAATCCTCCATCCTCAGCCTCCTAAGTAGCTGGAACCATGGGTAGTGACCCTTCTGTGTTTCAGTGGCTAGTTCCCAGGGTCATTGTGGGGGTAAATGTGATCATAATTCCTGCTAATCTCCTAGGAGACTGCCTAGCCCATGGGTGTAACTATATTATTATTATTATTATTATTATTATTTGAGGCAGGGTCTTACTCTGTTACCCAGGCTGGAGTGCAGTGGCACAATCACAGCTTATTGCAGCCTCTGTCTCCCGGACGCAGGCAATTCTTCCACCTCAGCCCCCTGAGCCGCTGGGACTATAGGCATCACCATGCCTGACTAATTTTTTTTGTAGAGATGACATCTTGCTATGATGCCCAGACCAATCTCAACTCCTGAGCTCAAGCAATCCCCCTGCCTTGGCCTCCCAAAGTGCTGGGATTACAGGCATGAGCCACTGCACCCAGCCATGCTGTTATTTTTTATCGAGTGGCAATTAGGGAGTAAACAAAGCCCCCAATGAACTGACAGTCTGGTGATAGAAACAGATATTAATCACACAATCACACTAATGAATGTGTAATTATAAACTGAAATAAGTGCCAGAAGAAAAGATCATCCACAATTTTTTTTTCCTCAAGTGAGGGTCTCACTGTGTCGTCCAGGCTGGAGTGCAATGGCATGATCACATCTCACCACAGCCTTGACCTGCTGGGTTCAAGTGATCCTCCCACCTCACCTCCCAAGTAGCTGGGACTGACCACCACATCTGGCTAATTTTTTATTTTTTTGTAGAGATGAAGTCTCACTGTGTTACCCTGGCTGGTCTTGAACTCTTGGGCTCAAGCATTTCTCCTGTTTTGGCCTGTCAAAGTGCTGAGATTAGGTGTGAGCCACCACACCTGGCCATGATGATCAAGTCTATGTGTCAACTTGACTGGGCTATGGGGTGCATCGATTAAACATTATATCTGAGCATGCCTGTGAGGGTGTTTCTGGGTGAGATTGGCCTTTGTACCAGTGTGCTCAGTACTGCAGATAGCCTTTCCACTGTGGATGGCCACCATCCAGTCCATCAAGGGCATGAGTAGAATCAAGGGTGGAGGAAGAGGGAGTTTGTACCTTTGCTTCCTGCCTGCCAACTTTAGCTGGGACGTGGGGTTTCTCCTGCCCTTGGCCTGGGATTTACACCATCAGTGCAAATGGTTCTTGGGCCTTCAGACTTGGGCTGAACCAACATCACTGTCTCTCCTGGGGCACCATTTTGCAGACGAGGGATCGTGGGACTTCTCAGCCTCCATAGTTGCATGAACCAATTTCTCATAACAGATCTCTTCATATATATGAGAGGGGGACCCAAAAAATTCGAAATTTATTTATAAAAGATTTTTTATTTATTCTTACATGTTTAAATGTCAATCACCTTCAAAGTACTCTCCGTTGGATGAAATACACCTGTCAAGACACTTTTTCTATTGTTCAAAACAGTTTTTGAACTCGCCCATTTGGATGCCTTTTAGTGCTTCTGCCGTTTTTTTGTTTCACCTCTTCCACAGTGACAAAACGTTTCCCTTTGAGGATTTCTTTCTTTCTTTCTTTCTTTTGTTCTTTCTTTCTTTCGTTCGTTCTTTCTTTCTTTTCTCTCTCTCTCCCTCTTTCTTTTTTTTTTGAGAAAATCACCCGTCATAAAATGAGCAAACACACTGAAAGAATCACCCCAGAAAAGTCACTGAAGCCTAATGCAACCTCTCACAACAATGCTTGCTGGTACACAGATGCTGGTGGGTTCCTGGAATACTTACCTAGCAGGGGAAGCCTGTCCTACGAGGCACAAGCCCTCCAAAAGATAATTCCAGTTTTGGGGGGCCTTTCCTTGTATATATATCCCATTTGTTCTGCTTTTCTGACTAATATACCTAGTCTGGATACTGACTCTTTGAGCAATGGTTCTGAGAGGCTCATTCTGTCTATATTTAATTTAATTTATTTTATTGTAGAGTTGTGGGGTGCAAGTGAGGATTGCTACATAAGCAGGTTGCATGCAGGTGAGGGTTGGGCTTCTCGGTGCCCACTCTCCCTTGACAGTGGACCAGGTGCCCTCTGTGTTGTGAGAGGCTCTTTCCAATCCCAGTCTTTCCTTGGGTCCCTTTTGGCACATTTATGCTGCTTCTGCAATTGTCTTGGAGTTGTGCTTGTGTTTCTGGTGTGTGTGTGTGTGCATGCATGCACATGTGCTGTTTGTGTGTATACGTGCAAGGATCTGTGTGTATAAGATTTCCTGTGTAGCTGGGCGCAGTGACTCATGCCTGTCTTCCCAGCACTTTGGGAGGCGGAGGCGAGAGGATTGCCTGAGCCCACGGGTTCGAGACCAGCCTGGGCAACTTGGTAAGACCTTGTCTGTATAGTAAATCAAAAAATTAACCGGGTGTGGTGGTGCACACCTGTAGTTCCAGCTACTTGGAAGGTTGAGATGGAAGAATTGCCTGAGCCCAGCAGGTCGAGGCCATGAGCATGCCACTGCATTCCAGCTTGGGTGACAGAGTGAGACTCTGACTCAAAAAGAAACAAACAAAATAAAAATTATTTTATAGGATGCTATCTTTTTAAAATTTTTTATTATAAAGATGTGGGGTACATTTCAGAGTTAGGTATATAAACATTGACCATGCAGGTACCCTTGTTGATGAGGTACGCCCCTCCCTCCCCTAGTAGTTTCCCTCAACTGCCAATCCCACCCCCCCCAGGATGCTATTTTTTATATAAACAATAACTACAAATCAATAAAATACTAACAATCTGCAGGG